TGGATTGCTGTTCTTCGGATTATCCGATATCTCAAGCAAGCTCCAGGTTTTGGGTTACTATATAAATCAAATGGTCATCTCAGGGTGGAAGGTTTTACAGATGCCGACTGGGCTGGTTCTCCTTCAGATAGGAGATCTATTATAGGCTACTGCACATTTGTAGGAGGAAATCTTGTTACATGGCGAAGTAAAAAGCAAATGGTGGTAGCTCGATCTAGTGCTGAAGCTGAGTATAGGGCAATGGCCCCTACCACTAGTGAGTTGACATGGATACAACATTTTCTAAAAGAACTTGGGTTGACAGTTGAAGCTCCTACTCCATTGTTCTGTGATAATCAAACAGCAGTTCACATTGCATCAAATCTTGTGTTTCATGAGAGGACCAAACATATTGAAGTTGATTGTCACTTCATTCGAGAAAAAATATTACGTGGGAGCATCTCTACTCCATTCGTGAAGTTTGAAGATCAATTAGCTGATATGTTTACAAAAGCATTGGGTTATAACCGGTTAAGAACTATCTGTTCCAAACTGGGATTATTTGATATATATTCTCCAGCTTGAGGGGGAGTGTTAGAATGTTATATATATATATATGTTGGGTCATTATGTAATTACATATAGTTGGTAGGGCCCTTGTGTTATTAAGTAAATCTAGTACACTTTATGTAAGCCTACATAGGCTTATTAGGGTTTGGTGTGTTAAATATACAAGAAATATATGTCTGCTCTCTCTCTCTCTCTCTCATGATTTTGAACAATAATGAGGGGCATAAGGTTTGTAGGCAATGTAGGCATTAAGTTTACATGTGTGGTAAATTACTTTTTTGTCTATATAAATTTTGGGCAACACAGAGGAGAACATTCTATCTTGCTTCTGCCTTCTTTTCATGAGGCTGCTGCTTGTGTTTGCCTTTTGCTGTGCTTGTTGGCATTTAATCTCTTAATAGTAGAGTTGATTTTGACTCCATTTTTGGCGTTTGTTTTTTTACGAGGAAACGGACATATTGAAGGGCAGGTTCTGTTGCGAATGGTTCCCAAGTTTTTAAGGGTGTCAGCAAGGAGAACTGTTTTAGTAGGGGGTGTAATCTATCCGATCATATAAAAAAAGGACTACTTGGATTAGTCACATTGTGTCACAGAGTCTCAGGTTGGATCAGGCAAGGTTCTGGAGGTGTTTGGTTGTAGGAAATTCAAAGGAAAGATTGCTTAATATATGGACACTACCCTTTTCTGAAGAAGGTTCACATGGTAGGGAATGATTTAGGATTACAAAGGTAGGTTTTTGGATTGGATATTTGGGACTAAAAATGTGCACTTTCAGATTGGAAATTTAAAGAAATTGTTGTTGGTTTGGGTTATGAACATCAACCCATGAACGGTAACCTAGGTTCTATTCTAGTTTTGTGTAGAGAGGTTTGAATCTGTAACTTAGGTTCCCCAATTCCTTTTAGAATGTTGAATTCAGAATTAGAAACTTAGATTCTTTGGCCAGTTAAAATTATTGAACCCATATATAAAAACCTAAAATAAATTCATCCATGTTCATAGCATGAAGTAAGAAATTTTATGTCACACAAACCTGAAATCTTCTCTTCCTCCATCCTGCTTACAAATCACTCTAGGAGTGCTCAGTCTCAACCCTGATTGTAAAACCTAGGCAATTTGCAGTAAGCATGCATCTATAATCTGTATCTATCGCAAAGGCCTTTTCTTTTTGGGTATATCCTTTTCAGATCATCCTCCAAACTTAAAAATTCTCCACTCGGCTCAGCATTTGAACACTCTAATCACTATATCCTTTCAGATTTGAGTTACGAAGTCACATTCACTGTTTTTGTCAACATTTCAACTGATAAATTGATTAAAACTGGATTGATCCGTTTTGACCAATATCTCTTCTAGATGCACGATGATCCCATCAAGGTACACGTCTTGTTTTGAGAAAGTCCTGATAAAGACGATCTAGAATTATTTTTTAGGACAACTCCCTGTAAAGCTGTAATTAAATCTTAAACTGCTCACCAGTCACAACTCATTCAATGAGCATTTGCAGGACAATGGAAGAAATATATGTTTCTTCCCGTTAGTTAATTCAAGAACATTTATTTGTTTTTGTGATGTTGTGGCCCGAATTTGGTGCCGGGTCGTTGAGACCCACTTTGACCCGACGAACTGTTGGATAAAATTTGACCCTTTTTTGCTCATGGGTCGTGGACCCTAATTAGTCTCTTGGAGCCCGATATATAAGGGCGCTTAGGGTTTGGAGTGGTGGAAGAGAGAGACTCTGAGAGTGAGGGGCTGAAAACTTGTAATCTCCGATTTTACACATAGTTAAGACTTTCGCCGGATCTCAACCGTGGACGTAGGCTGTTGCCGAACCACGTATAAATCTTTGTGTATTTTGTGTGGTGTGTTACTTTTCTGTCGTGATTCTTGATTTTATCTTGGGTTTGTTGCATTTGTCCTAACAGTTTTGTTAATTTTTTGTTGATCCAGTGTAATTCTAACAGATGGGTGAACAACTGGATGTATTGCAATAGTTTTGACACTGGTTGATGGTGCTACTTTATTGATGCCCATCATCACTGTATCACTGGTAAGTCATATAATTTGGAGAAATAGAACACAACATTATAATTATTGTTCACTGCATTTAATTTGCAGAACAGATCAGGATATTTTAATTATTCACTGCTTGTGAAATCAATCCTATTATCAGTCTTTGATGACTAAACATTAGTTGCTTCTTTACTTATTAAAATTTTTTTATTGCGGATTTACTTTTTGGGTCTGAAACTTTGCATCCTTAACCTAGTATATCATGAGACTAATGCGATGCCCAGCCCCGATCTCCATTGAAGAACAAAATGCCTGTGATCATGAACTAAATTTTGTATAGAATATGTTGACCGTGCTCAAATATTATATGTGATAATTGTGTCATTTTTCCGATGGTATTTTTGTGTTAGATGATGGTTAAAAAGTTGTCTGGTTTAAACAAACATGTACTTTTGGAAATAAACTAGAGCTGGTACTTCTGAAGCATGGGACTGCTATCTTTGATATGCATATAATTTATGCTTCTACTGGTCCAGTTTAGTCCTTGGAGAAGGTCGATGAAATTTGTTTGGTTGCTTAGAAATTTTAGTTTATGAAGGGAAAGTTGTTGTTAGAGCAACTTTTGGTGGCTGGTGGTTCTTGAGAAATTCAGGTGACATTATCCAATATGGTTCTTTAAATGTCTATGGAAGTGGCAAGGCAACTACCACTATAGAAATTAGCTGTGTGATTGCCTAACCCTATATGTTTTCTTTCCCTCTTTTCCTTTTTTTTATTTAAAAAAAATCTTTTTCCTTATTTATAATTGATTAGAAAAATGTGGGATATTGTCCTTGACATGTTTAAGAATACATAGAAGATGATCTATTCATGCTCTTCAATGGGAGAACAACATTAAGAGTTATGCCATTGAGCTTATTTTCCAGATTAGGAAGTGACTCAATTCATGATTGAAGAAACGAATTTCTATCATCACAGGTAGAAATGAAGTCAAAAAGAAGAATTTACGAGCATACAAGGATTTTTTTCATGGTCAGTATGAGATACTGTCTTATCATTAATTGTCAAATCTTGGCATCAGTGTTCAGTTATTGATCTTTTCTGTAAGACGGATTCACAAGATATATATTAATCATTAAACCATTTTTAGAAACCTGCTAGATTTTGGTCCCGTCTTCTTGATTCATTTTCTTAAAACCAGCTTTTGCCTAAAGCTTAATGACGTGCATACTTGGAATATCAAGAAAAGGGTTATTGATATTGCACAATTGATAATCTGGACCCGATTCATATACATCCCACAGGTAATGGCTGCTACGTATCAATTTTTACGTCGGCCTCATTGAAGGGCACTTTTGTACGGCCTTGTTGCATTTAAAGGCTTAAAAGTATTTGTTATGATTTTTGATATACGATACTAATTATAGTATTTGCAATCAGTTAAGATGATGACTATCATTTTTAATGTGATTTGGTTCTTGATGATGAACTGTTCATTAATTGTACCAAAGTAGAGATTATAATTTAATCTAAATGGGACTTCCAAGGGTGTCATGTATTACTTGCAAATTTAGACTTTTTAACATTAGTACCCTGGTAATATATTCTTTGGCTAATAAAATTAACTGATTTGTGAAGGGCAATGCTGCATGATTGATGTTATGCCAGACAATTGGGGCTGTAGTGCTAGACACTTTGACAGAACATAGATTGGTCCTGAAAAGAAGATTGTTGAAAGAATAATCAATGGATGGATTTGCCAACTGACCAGACATTCGGATAAATTGGCGAAATGAGAACCGGCATAGCTTCTGCATTACAGCGGCATAAGCATTCTCAAGGTCAGCCTCTGGGAAATTTCTGTGATTCTTCTTGTATCGGAGCTTCCTGATCAAAATTTGACTCCGAATAATGTTTGTTAGGTTTACAACAATTGTTTACAGGGTTTCATAAGCTGAACTTGAGAGATTGCCATTTTGTTTTTTCTTGTCTAAAAATTATGTTTATTTGCGACATATACAACAGTGTTTGTGTTCTAAAATCTAAATCAAACTGCTTCTGAACAGAAGTAGTGATTCTGCGCTTTTTTCTACTTTACTTTTTACTACAATCCGCCGATTTTAACCTTCCTCCTTCCATCTCTCAATATACTACTACATTGTCACGGATCTGTTCCAGGAGATTCAAGTTCATGATATATGTTGTTATTAAAAAAAAAAAAAAAAAAAAAAAAAAAAAAATATTTGTAACCTTCACTTATACTTATGGTCTTAAATTAAGATTTTATCTTAATTATTGTTACGGATATTGAGAAATTTATATTTGATAGTTGGTGAACTAATCGAGTGAAAACTAATGTTGATAATTATTCTTAATATATTAATATATTTTTGTGTATTCAGTTTTTTAAATTGAATTAATCCACCAAGTGTGAATGGTTTCGGGACAAAAAAGTATATTCACATTGATTTCACCCATAGCATTTGCAAAAGTTTATCCAATCATATAATCAAATACATCCACAAATCCTATGCACAAGATTGGACGAAGCACAAAGAAGAACTTGTAACTGATCAAACTTCTTCAAAACAAGAATGGCGTAGGCGAGAATGCAGGAAGTGCCATTGGCGAGGTAGATTTCCTGAATATTGCCAAAGAAAAAAGGTTAGTCCATTCTCATACAATTTCATTACAAAATCTAAAAAGCCAAGTCCAATTGAACAAAAAGAAGCCTTGCCAGGTGTATTACATATACATATTATATTATATATATATAGTATACATGAGTGGAGGGAATGAAAGGCTGGAAACACTAAAAACAAAAAAAAAAAAACAAGTTTTCATCACTCCACAATAATCTGAATTGCCAGCAACTTGCACACTCATTACTTCATCGTTGCCATGTTCTTTGATTACCCACAAATCAAAACCTAGTTTGAAGGTTTCCTCTTAAACATTAGACATGTATAAAAATAAAAAATTGGTTGGTGGCATACTCCATTTAATTATGTTATTAGTTGATGTGTCAGCGTTTACTAGCTCATCACGTATTGGTGTGATTTTATTTTTTTAAACCCATGACAACTGTCAATTTTTTAACCTAAAAAATACGGAGTAATTCAAATACCTCTTTTTTTTTTTTTTTTTAATTATATAAAAATAATAATAGTAATAATAATCTAATTTGGGCCCTCAACCCAGAGTTAGGATTCACACACACACGTGCAAGGATTGTGATTGAGATCTATGGGATACAGTGCTGCACATCACATGAGATTCCAACTGCTCGACCTTCTTCACTTTGAGGGCAAACAAGAAAGCAACGGACTAAAACATGTCAACAACCTCTCTGGCTAAAATAAATGTCAAATCTTAGGTGTATTTCGTGTTTTTGCCTTCTCTGCTTCTAACAATAATAATGCACTTTCTTTATACATCCCGCCACAACTCACAATCACGGGCACTTCAATTTATAGTTATAGATAAGGTTTTTTATGGTCACTATAATAATAATAATAATAATAATATGCAATAAATGTACCAAACAAACATAGTAACCGTGAGATATGATCTAAAATTTACTTACAAAATTTCTTCATCATCAATGAAAAAGAAATTATTAATGTATATATATATATATATTATGGTTGGCAATTCAATTTATAATTCTAATAAGGATTTTTAAGGCGACTATATATATAATATGTATATCTATAAATTTTAGTAAGATTAAAATACGAGTAATGTGTCAATTTAAGCCAATATTAGGATAAGTTTGGTTGACAACCTTTGATAGTACCCATAATTATAATATCAGTTTGTATAACAAAAAGACTTGATTATTTTTTATTTTTAGAATTATTGTTCTGAAAAAAAAGAAAGCGTAACAAACGATAAATATTCTAAAGGGGTGATATGATATACCTGTAGTCATTGCCATGTCTGGGAGATCGAGTCATAGGCATTGATCTGCTTTTTGCTAATTGCTTCTTCTCGGATCTGACCGCCCGTTCATTGTTTCTGTCCATTTCTGAGACGACGCCGTCTTCGGATATGGCTGAGAGCGCCGGTTTCCACTGCGACGTCGAAGAGTGAACTTTCGCTAACCGGCCACGACTAGCATGACCGTTCGCGGCGCTCGTTAGTGGCACCACCTCCTGCGGCGGCGGCGCTCTGACCGTGGAGCCACAGCAGCACAATCGCAATTCCCGGCACAGTTTCATATTTCGATTCAGATACTCCCTGCGACCCTGTCTGTGTATATTTATCTCTCTAGAAACGGAATTCGACTGTGTTTTTGCGACTCTATAAATACACGTAGGGTAGGAGTAGGAGTCTCTCTCTACATAGAGTCATATATACCATATAGGAGAGAGAGAGAGAGTACGATTTTCTGACTTGGCTATTCTTGTTACTAAAAATTGTGGATAGATTGTCCTTATCTCAAAAGGGTATTTATGTACTTGTCTATTTTGGGATCGGTTTCGCTTCATTGATTTTTTATGCCCACTGTCGAAAAACTGTTGGCTGGGCTGGTATTATCTGTTTTGCCATTCTAATTTAACTGAAATTTGGTTTTATTAAAAGGTTGAATTCAATTAATACTACTCAATAAGAAATAACAAAGGTTTTAAAAATATTAAATGTATATATATATATATATATAAATTTTAAAAGTAAATATATAATCGGGGCGGGGTGAGTTTATCATTAAATCTGCCTCCGCCCCAAACACTCTACAGGTTTTTATTTTTTTACCATACTTATTCCAAACTCATTTAAGGAGTTACCAAATTCGTCCCATCGGGGTGGAGGAAATTGCCATCCCTATTTGTTAGACAAAATTATAATTTTTTTTAAAAAAATGCAACAAATTAATAGTTTAGGGAGGAATTTGTAGTTTAGGAGTGTTATTTTGCAAAAAGAAAATAGTTGAATGTTTTTTTTTTTATTTTTTTTATTTTTTTTCCTAAAAAAATATTTATTATACATTTAATGATAAGTGATGTGACTGATATCATGTCACTTAATCATGCTTATAACTTTCAAAGTTTAAACACAGTTAATTCGATATATCTATTCAGAATTAAATACTAAACAAACAACATTTTATTCTCTGGTAATAACCGTAAGATTACTGATCACCTTTCAAAAAAATAAAATAAACATAGCCACAAGATTAAATAAGATTTTAATATTCATAAATGAAAATACAGTTCAAAGGTCTTTTATCCCACTAATAATAAAGATGATCATAATGGGATGGGTCATTTTTTAGAGTTAGTGATGTCAATTTATTAGCGTTAAGAGGAAAAGACTAGTCCATGTCAACAAAATGGTTCTTTAGCGTTAAGAAATGTGAATTACTTATAATATGAGCTTACAATTTTTTTGGTAGTGTGATTTGTTAATGAATTTTATTATATGCTTTATATGTATTGTTAATTCTTATATCTTATGCCCAAAACATACTGCACAAAACAATTGCAATCCTTTATTATAAGCGATGGCAATAATCACAAATAGATCAGTAATTCAGTGATATTAAATTCATATTTTTTAAAGAGAAATAAAAAATATGTCACGGAATTAGACTCTACTTTTCTCGAAGAAAGGTGAGGATTAGAAATTTTTTTAAGCAAACTTTACTTAATAGAAAGTCAGATAAACATCAAATCAACTGTAATGGTAACTTGAAAGTGTGCAACAGAATGCAGCCAATGGAATGGTGGTTGGAGATAACTTGTGGGGGCAAACAATTTGTTGATTAAAATTACTTCAATGCCCTAACATATGGCAAATAATGATATGATTATTTCCAAATAAATTTTTATGGTGAGGTTTCCTTATTATTATTTTTGGATATAATAATACGGGCAATATGTTGCTCCAATATTCAATTATAGCATAAATGTAGAATGATAATTTAAGTTTAGATTTTAGCAATGATTGAGAATATTATATATCAATTTAAAATAGAACGATGGAAGTAATTAGTTGTAAGCATATGTCGATATGGATCCTAACCGCATAACAACTGTAATAAAATATATATTTGTTGTCTCCAATCTAATATTCTCTTTTAGTTCATGATCTTTACTTATTTTGTTCGAACTCAAAATGGAGCATAATTAAAGAAAATAAAAAATGGAGCATAATTATTAATTGATATTTATATTTAGTGGCTCCCACGAGCTTATTTAACAACTGACAGAGGATTTGGAGGAGGACTGTTATGCATTAGTTAAAAAATTAGAAGGCCTTTAATTAGAAGTTTAAAAGAAAACGAAAGGATAAATAGTGAAAAAAAAGAATTTTTTTTTTTTTTTTAAGTGTGAGAAAATAGAATTAATTGAAGCATATTATATACTTCAAATTTAATAATCTATTAGACTACAAAATATTTATTGACGAATGAAAAAAATAAGCAAATAAACTCTGGTGCATTTATACACAACTAAACCCTCTTGTCCTAGTATACGTTTTAGAGATTCTTTGTTCCATATCGGATTTTGAGATCTTAGGGTTTTGGGTTTTATAATGGTGGGTATAAATTATCTTGGATGGAATGGCAAGCGCCCAGTCTTTTATTGACGAACAAAAAAAATAAGCAAATAAACTTTGGTGCATTTGTACACAATTAAACCCTCTTGTCCTAGTAGTGTACGTTTTAGAGATTCTTTGTTCCATATCAGATTTGGAGATCCGAGGTTTTGGATTTTATAATGGTGGGTATAAATTTTCTTGGATGGAATGGCAAGCGCCCAGCCTTTTACAAGTGGTTTCAGAGCAGTCTCATTATTTGATCCTGTGCCATGTCAAACACCCAAATAATACTAAAAAATCCCATACTTTTTTGCCAAGAAAAATAATATTCCAGCATGGACAAGCGCCTAACTCAATTGACCTCATCATGCTCCTGATTAATTCACTAGTAATCAAAAAATTTGCATGTATTGCAATACTCATAATGATTAATTCACTAATAATAAAAAAATTTGCACATACCATAGAGTTTTGATTGCAAACATAGAATTTCACAAATGTAATCTTTTTGTATAAACATGACTTGAGAATTAAATCAGGTTTGATACCTACGTCTACCTACCCAAATGAGGTCTTTCATTAATGATTAAAATTGCCCATATTGCAATAATATATAGCTTACCATATAAACAACACATCCACTCATTCAGTGCAGTTATACACACACACACACACACACTCAGCCTGGTAACACGCATATTAAAATAATTAATCAACAAGAAAACATCCAATCGACACCTTGCAGGAAAATAATTTTTTTATTTTATGTTGAAAAATATATGCTATCTAAGCTTAACTTAATTCTATCAATATTTAATAAAACATAACATAATCTTTTGAAAATATAAAATTAAGATACTACATATATCAGAGTGATGAGACAGATAAGCACACATTTTTGAAGATTTATACAGTAAAACGTGATTATTTAAAAATAATAATTTTATTAGCTAAGTTACTTGCATGAGATCTCTTTCAACGCTCAAGATTGCTCCTTAAAGAAATCCCCACAGCAAAAGATGATTGGACTAAGAATGCAGTGGACTAATTTTTTTAATTTTTTTTTTTAAAAAGAAAAAGATCGCAAGATCTTAAAAAATAAAAAAAGCAAAAAATTATTAATATAAATAGAAAAGAACTTGGAGTAGTAGTGCGTTGCTTTAAAGAGTGTCACTATATTGAGATTAAAAAAAAAAAAAAAATCAAGGCATGATATATGAAAATATTTTAAAATATGGATGCACTTAAATATTATTTTTATTTTTTATTTTTAGCAAATGTATTTAAAATTGACCAACACTTTAAAACACACACACAAATACATACTGGGTTTCAAATATGAGATGAAGCAGTCACTTTGTATAAAAAGCAAATGTCATGTTTGTCCTCCTATCTTTTCCTTGAAGTTTGAATATACACTTACAACAGTAATGCACTATTACAACATATGATTCGAATATTATAATTTATAAACATGATAAAGTTTGTTTTTAGAGGATGATAGTGGAAATTAATTTATTAACTTTTAAGTTAGTTGGTTGAGGTCTCATTCAAGGCTCAAGTTGCTCCTTAAAAAAATGCCCACAGCAAAAGATGATTGAAATAAGAGGCATATATACATTTAGCAAGTATATTACTTATATATATATATATTGATGAACATTAACCTAAATGATACGAGCTCTCTTTTTCTCAAAAGAAATGATTGGTATAAGAGCTCCCGTACGGACAAAATATATAGTAAGTCCGTGTGCATTAGCTTAAACTTCTGGAAATTTTTTTTTTAAAAAAATGCTATATATGCTGGTAGAAATTATCCGCAAATAACAAAAATAATAAAAAGATCGAAAAATGTCTCTGTCATTCAAAAGACATACTGCATTTTGGGTCCCACCATTAAGTTCACCTGTGTTACATTTCATCTCCTGTATACAAGTTGATGATGATTGAGACGAAGAAAAATGTCGGCTTACAAGACATTCATATAAGAGAAGTGCAGGCACCAAGAACATGACACGTTCCAGAGTGAAATGCCACCACAAATGGTGCAACAAAAATTATTTATCTTCTTATCTCCCACACTAATTCCCATTAAAATGGCCAGTGGTGGTCCAATACTCCAACCACCTAATTTAGTGAAATTAATGCTATAAGAGATTTTAGAAGGAAGACACTGTCACGGGGTCTCCAAATTTGAAGCCATGGCCATTCCATTTATGGTGTTTGGAAAAGCTACATCATGAAGAAGTTGGTATCAATTGTTGTGTTTTATTTTACTTCTTTTGGTTGGCAGAGTTGAAAGCACACAATTAAGTAGCAAAAGCATTAATTATATGTTTGGGAGTACCGAATCAATTGTTAAAATTTATATTAATTTTTTTCTAATTCCAAATTCAAAGTATCGAATTAGTACTACCAAATGTAACATAAAGAATGATCTAATATAATGTTTAGGATCACTGAATTGGTATCTTGGATTTGGGATCGGAGAAAGTTTAATTCAAAATTTGCACTAATTTTTTTTCAATTTCAAATTCAAGGCCCCGAGAACGACATTGTAGTCTAGCAATTGGGTTGCTTCCTGTTATCTTTGAGAGCACAGTTTCGAGCTTTCATACCTCTAACTTCTAATCTAACGTTTTTATTCCAAAAAAAATATATAATAATAAAATTCAAAACGCCTATATAGTGGCGTGAAACATGGCATGAGTGATTTTGGATTTGTCAATTTGCACCCAGGCACGGTCAATCGGATGGAAATGTAGCAGATGATAGATGCAAATTAGTAATGGCGGGTTAGAAATCTAGCTTGGAATGGTGA